GGCCTGTCGTTGGGCCTCAGCTGCTTCCTCCCTGGAGTTGTAGATCTTGAAGGCCAGTTTGACTAAATCCTGGATGGGAGTTTGAGGGCCTTCCTCTGCCTTTTAAAATTTTTTTTGGATATCAGGGGCCGACTGAGAAATGAAATATGAGGCCAAGATGGTTCCTCCTGCGGGGGAGGCAGGGTCAAGGCGGGTGTACTGAATAAGTGCCTCAGTCAGCCGGTTAAGAAAAACAGCTGGATTTTCATCTGCGCCTTGGACAACCTCTTTTAGTTTGTTAAAGTTGACTGATTTGTTAGAGGCTGCCTGCATGCCGGCAAGAAGGCACTGAACCATTATGTCATGGTGGCAGTGACCTGCCTGCCCTACCTGGTAGTCCCAGTCGGGCTTAGCCAAGGGCACTGTCTCGGTGCCGACTGGCATGGCGGGGTCAGTTAAATGAACCTGGTTAGCCTGCTGCCTGGCTGCCGCTAGGATGCACTCCTGCTCCTCAGAAGACAGGGTTGAGGTCATAACGACATGGAGGTCATGCCAGGTGAGATCATATGCCTGGCATAGATACCTGAACTCTTTGATATAACGACTAGGACTGGCCGAAAAGGAGCCTGCACACTCCTCAACCTTAGACAAATCTGCCAATGAAAATGGCACATGGACCCGGACTACTCCTTCGGCACCTGCCACCTCTCGCAAGGGACACAGGAGGTCGGTCCTGGACCGAGTATGGGCTGAGACAGGCGAGGAAGGGGAGGAGGTGGAGGTAGGGTAGACAGAATCTGTCGGGTTTGGTAAGGACACATGAAGGGTAGAAGGGAGGGGAGGCATTGACGAGGACGGGGATAATGATGGGTCAGGGTAAGGAGGAGGTTGGGCGGGAGGCTGGAGGGGTGGCCGGGATAGGGTGTCAGGAGGCTCAGAAAAAGAGGAGGAATCATCCCTCTCCTTGCTCGAGGGAAGAGACTTTGCAAGTAGGACCTGAGCTAACGAGCATTGGGCGCAGAGATCTGGGCGAGAACGCAAGTCCCAAAAGGCTTGAACATAGGGTATCTCGTGCCATTTGCCTAGTCTCTTGCAGAAGTTGGTCAGATTCGTGAGGATGTTAAAGTCTAGAGTGCCTTCTGCAGGCCACTGAGACTGATTATCCAATTTGTACTGCGGCCATGCTACTGTGCGGAAGAAAATGAGCCGCTTTTGTTTTATGTCTTGGCTGAGACTTAAAGTCTGGAGATTCGCCCAGAGGCACCCCAGAGGAGATTTTTGGTCTGGTTTGGACTGGGTAGTTCCCATGGTCCTAAGACGGGCAGTCCGGAGGCAATGGGAGCGTCCTCCTACTGCCACGTGGAGTGCAGGGTACGGTGGCTTCCGGGGAGGCTGGACGTCTTCTTGTCCCCAGTGCCAAGGTCACAGTTGACTGGAGGGAGCCCCTGACGTGGCCACGCCTTTCGGACAGGGACTTCCCGGAGGGGGCCTACAGGACGGGGGAAGACTTACCCAGCAGTGATCAAATTCAGTCTTGGATTTGGTGAAACAGCTCCCGGCTTGGAAAGAAGGTCCTGGCTCGGGGAGAGGGGAGCCTGTCCGACCCAGCAGGGGTCTGGGGGAGGGGGTCTCCTCCCAGGTTTCGGCACCAAATGTAAAGGCAAGCTGAGGCTGGAGCTGAACCGGGAACAAAGACACAAGGCAAATGGCAGTGAGAATAGCCTTTATTAGGACTCGCGGGCGAGGTTCCTCGGTCCAAAGGTGCAGGCCGAGGAAGTCACGCTGAGGGAGGAGGGTAGGGGCTTTTTTATAGCCCGAGAGGTAGGGAAGCTGGTTGTACAAACAGGGCCTGGGGGGTCTTGAAACTACTAGGGCAGGAGTGGAGTAAGGGTCATGAGGAAGGGGTCTTTGGAAACTGTTAACCGAAACTGCTGTTTACGAACTTGTGGAATGCAGGTGAGCTGCAGGTCATGGAGGAGTGTGGTTGCCCAGCCGGAACCTCTGACGTATGCAAGTCTGCGGGTGTGTTCAAAGAGGAAGGGAAGTCTCAAACAAAGGGCCTGCTACGCCGGGTGGCGCCGCCATGTCGGGTCTAGATCCCTGCCTAACAAGTAATGCCATTTATTGTGTATTTACTGTGTTTTTGGACACTATGCAGAGTTCATTCTTCGCATTATTTAACTTTCCTCTAACAACTTTTTGAAGCAAGAACTCAGTGGTGAAAATACTGAGTTGCAGAGAGCTTAAATAAACTTGCCCTAGATCATAGGTTAGAGCCAAAATTTGGTTCCAGGAACTCTGATTCCAGAGCCAGTGGTCTCAGCCATTAAATGCAGTTCCCAAACTTGTCTGCTTCAAAAAATGCTGATGCCTGTGTCCCTTCCCCAGAGATTGTGACTAAATTGGTCTGAGATGTGGCCCGGGACTTGTAGTTTGTAAGAGATCTCCAGGTGATTCTAATCTGCAGACAAATTTGAAAATCACTGTAACACTGCTTTGCTTGGGACATTAGCTAACAACAGCTACCTGAGAGCTATTTCATCCTGCCAATTAATGAGATAACATCAAAAGTGTGTTTTCTAAAATAGAGTTAAAGCTTTACCTGTGGGAGAAATTATAGCACAAAAGAACAATAGCGAGTTATTCATTCACATTATCAGTACTTATAGATGGTCTTTTAGGACTGATTCAGTTTTTTACTGACTTCAACCTGTGTCAGGTCATAAAGCTGAAAGGCAAGGTTGGTAATACATAAAAAGCCTATAGAATAAGTGCTGCAACTTTCATGGGTGACAGCACGGCTGGCCACGAGGGGCATTTTTGTGGACTACTCTCCCTTTTCCCTTAGGTCTGGAACAACAGAAAATATCTGAATTTAAAAGTTCCATTAACTGTTTTTGTTGAAATTCATAGCCTGCCTCCCACTGGAGCGTAAACTTTTTGAGAAGAGAGACCTTCCTCATTTGTGTTCTGTCCATACTGGCACCATGCTTGCCTATGGGAACCAAATCACAAGTTGGCTGAATAGTTAATTGTGTTTCCTGCAGTGCTCTATTTAAGCCATTGATACACTGAAGTTGTAACCAATAATTGTAACTACCATTCATCTACTATATGCAAGATTCTTTACATATATATGTAAGTGATATACATATATACACTAATCTTGTTTTGCTTATCACTAATCCTTTTTTTTTTTTTGAGATGGAGTTGTTTTGCTCTTGTCACCCAGGCTGGAGTGCAGTGGCGTGATCTTGGCTCACTGCAACATCTGCCTCCGAGGTTCAAGCGATTCTCCTGCCTCAGCCTCCCGAGTAGCTGGGATTACAGGCGCGCACCACTATGAGCGACTAATTTTTGTATTTTCAGTAGAGATGGGATTTCACCATGTTGGCTAGGCTGATCTCGAACTCCTGACCTCAGGTGATCTGCCTGCCTCGGCCTCCCAAAGTGCTGGGATAACAGGCCTGAGCCACTGTGCCCGGCTGTTTATCACTAATCTTTACACAGACCTATTAATCCTCCTATCTGAGAAGGAGGAACTGAATCCCTGAGAAATTACCCAAGATTGTACAGTGGAGTAAGCAACAAAACTGAGGTTTGAGCCATGTCTGTCTGATGCTGTAGCACACCCACTTTTCTTTACCAAAAACATTCTAGACTCTTAGATGGGATTAAAAACTCCTAAGAAAAGACTCTGGAGTAATCCTTCATTATAAAGCCTATGGGATCACCTACATTTTTCCACATTAAAATAAAAAACAAAACAGCTTCTAATCAAGATTTTTCATTAGCTTAACCATTTCTTCTGTTTTGGACATTTCAGGATTACCTAATTTGCCACTGTTAAAGATACCACAATGAAGATTTTTCTGCATACATCTTTGCCCACACTTGAAATTATTTCTTTTTTTTTTTTTTTTTTTTTTTTTTTTGAGGCGGAGTCTTCACTCTGTCGCCCAGGCTGGAGTGCAGTGGCACCATCTCGGCTCACTGCAAGCTCCGCCTCCCGGGTTCGCGCCATTCTCCTGCCTCAGCCTCCCGAGTAGCTGGGACTACAGGCGCCCACCACCGCGCCCGGCTAATTTTTTTGTATTTTAGTAGAGACGGGGTTTCACCGTATTAGCCAGGATGGTCTCGATCTCCTGACCTCGTGATCCGCCCGCCTCGGCCTCCCAAAGTGCAGGGATTACAGGCATGAGCCACTGCGCCCGGCCGAAATTATTTCTTTAGGGTCCATTTCTATAAATAGAATTGGACTAAGGCATGTAAACATTACTGACTTACACTATCAAATTATTTTTCATAAAATATACTAATTTAGACTTTTACCAGCAGTGCACAAGAGGACTCATTTCATCCCTGCCAATATCTTTATACTTTGCAAAAAATTTTTGCCAATTTGCTAGTTTAAAGAAAAATCTCATTTTTTGCATTGTTTTGATTACAAGCAAGTTTGAGCGTTCTCTCTCTTTTTTTTTTTTCCTTTCCTGTAGTGCTGATGAACTTTTACTTAACGTTTATTAGCCCTTTATATATCTTCATAATTCTGTTCTCATCCTTTGTCTATTTAATTTTGACACTTACCTTAGTGTTTTCTTATAATCTGTACATTTTTACACTTCAAATGTTAAGACTATTAACCCTTTATCGTATTTATTGCCAAATATTCCTCCAAAGTTTTCTATCATCTTTAAGTTTTAATTGTTGACACAGAAATTTTAAGTATTTTAATCTATTTATATTGTCCTTTATATGTTTTGCCACCTTTAACTCTAGAAGATTAAAATCTAGGGATCAAGTAAATATTCTCTTATTTCCTCTAATTCAGTTTTTAAAATATTTAACTCCTTGATTTACCTGTGGTTTATTTTGGTACATAATATGATATATGTCAGTTGGCCATTTCCTCAAATATTTCTTTTTCTAACTCCTTTCTCTTTTAATTTGTGATGCTATCTTGATCATATTTTTGATTCCTGTTGAATCTAATTTTTGCTTTTACTTTTGTTTTCTTTTAGCAAATCCTGTTTCCTGTGACTTTGTAAGGAAATGGTAAGATGTAGTTATAGTACTATTTTCACAGACCTAAACTAATAGGCCAGCCAATCTGGATGGGGCAGATTCATTTGACGTGGGTCTACCTTGGGGTTTTCAAAAAGGACATTCCTAGGCTTTGTCTTTGTCATAAGGCCCTTTTCTTTTCTTTCTTTCTTTCTTTCTTTCTTTTTTTTTTTTTTTGAGACAGAGTTTCACTCTGTTCCCCAGACTGGAGTGCAGTGGCGTCATCTCGGCTCACTGCAACCTCTGCCTCCTGGGTTCAAGTGATTCTCCTTCCTCAGCCTCCTGAGTAGCTGGGATTACAGGCATGCACCATCACGCCCAGCTAATTTTTGTATTTTTAGTAGAGATGGGGTTTCACCATGTTGGTCAGGCTGGTCTCAAACTCCTGACCTCGTGATCCATCTGCCTCAGCCTCCCAAAGTGTTGTGATTACAGGTGTGAGCCACCACGCCTGGCCCATAAGGCCCTTTTCTAATCACAGTTCCTAGGGGAAGAGGAATGAAGGAAGACAGAATTACTAAGAAGTTACACTTCTGGTCCCAAGCATCTTGGATAAGAGATATTCATCCTATAGAATCATTAGGGAGAAATACAAAGGGTTCATATAGGTGAAAAGTAAATAATACCAGATTTTATTTTTATCCACTTTTTAAAGAAATGGGTAAAAACCATTCATATTTATTGTTACTGATTAGCTCATTTATATGTATGGCTATTATTTAGACTTATTAAACAGTGGGACAGAAGATTGAGATGTAGGAGAACACTTCCTTTTTCTTTTCTTTTTTTTTCTTTTTTTTTTTTTTTTGAGACAGTCTCGCTCTGTTGCCAGGCTGGAGTGCAGTGGCACGATCTCGGCCCACTGCAACCTCCGACTCCCTGGTTCAAATGATTCTCCTGCCTCAGCCTCCTGAGTAGCTGGGATTACGGGCATGCACCACGACACCTGGCTAATTTTTGTATTTTTAGTAGAGATGGGGTTTCACTATGTTGGCCAGGATGGTCTCGATCTCCTGACCTTGTGATCCGCCCACCTCGGCCTCCCAAAGTGCTGGGATTACAGGGGTGAGCCACCGTGCCTGTTTGGAGAACAATTCTATTCTCTGAGTTTTTCACTTGTTTGCTAGGTACTTGATTCATTACTTAGTAGATCTGAACTTTTAAGCGATTTGGGATTCTGCATTGACAATCGCGAATCACAGATTTTGTGAAGTTCCAGTTCAATGTATCCCAATCTTCCTTGCCTCTAATTCAAATACGGTAGCTAATGACTTTTCAAGAAAGTGCCCTTTATGAAAAAAAGAAAAGAAAAATGTATATGTGTATATGTGCATATAATGCACAACAATAAATGCCTCCTGAAAACCGATGCTTACCCTTTGTTAGGCTAAGATACAGTTAGAAGAGGAGACAGAATATAGGTTGAGCATCCCTAATCTGAAAATCTAAAATCCCAAATGCTCCAAAATCTGAAACTTTTTGAGCATGGACGTGACACCACAAGTGGAAAATTTCACACATAAGTACTTACCACAAACTTTGTTTCACACACAAAATTATTTAAAATATTTTATATATAATTACCTTCAGGCATGTGTGTAAGATGTATGTAAAACATAAATGAATATTGTGTTTAGACTTGGGTCTCATCCCCAAGATACCTCATTATGTATATACAGATATTTCAAAATCTGAAAATATCCAAAATTCCGAATACTTCTAGTCCCAAGCATTTTGGATAAGAGATACTCATCCTATAAAATCATTAGGGAGAAACACCAAGGGTTCATATCAATGGTTCATGTAGGTGAAAAGTAAATAATACCAGATATTATTTTCATCCACTTTTTAAAGAAGTGGGTCAAAACCATTCATATTTATTGTTATTGTTTAGCTCATTTACATGTATGGTTATTATTTAGACTTATTTTGTATTTTATGTTTTAACATTTAGTTTTAAAATTTTATTGTGGAGATAGATCTCACTTCGTTGCCCAGGCTGGTCCCAATTTCCTGACCTCAGGTGATCCTTCTAACTCACCTTCGTGAAGTGCTGGCATTATAGGCGTGAACCACCACACCTGGTTGTATTTACCATGCTTTCCAGTTTTTTCCCCCCTTCCTTATTCAGGCAGCAAATACTACTACCTTATTTTTGTTTAATGGTTTTCAGTTAAAAAATAGGTTTTCTCACAAGAATTCTGAAAAGTAGATAGGACAGATATATCAACTAGATTTTACTGAGAGAAAATGAAAGTCAGCAAAATTAAGTCACTTTCCCAAGGTTGTCAGGTGGCTGAGGAGTAGAGCAGGTAGAATTAACATCTACTGAATAGTACCAAGTAGCCACTCAAAATACCACAGTACTTAAAATAAATAATGTATGCTGAGTGAACAAGCTTTCCTGTGACTGGATAGTTTGTGTCTGGTAAAGTTTTATACTTAAAAAGGCTGTGAGGAGTATGGTTCCAAAAAAGTATTTCATTATTGTTATTTCTTACTGCTTCTTGTTTCTCTCTGCTCTGTTAATTTGGAGTCATGTGAGGAAATTGTGCCATTTCTATCTGCATTATCTACCCCGTATCCTTTAAAAAGTTTGCTTTTATGCAAATATGCTGTGCCTAATTAGCCCGGTATGGTGTCTGTAGTCCCAGCTACTCAGGAGGCTGAGTTTGGGTAGTAGTCCAAGGCTGCAGGGAGCTGTGATCATGCCATTGCACTCCAGCCTGGGTAACATAGACCCTATCTCTAACAAAACAAACAAACCAACCAAACAAATGCTGAGAGGTTATACAAGTGTGCACCCTTGGGAGCTGCTGACTATTGAGCCCACTCTCCCCTGCTGCCTCCTCCCACAGTGCATCAGTCACCACTTAATTAGGAAGGCCATTTCTTCACATAATGCCTTGTATGTGCTTTGTCAGTGACTGAATCCTACCTGACACCAGGGCTAGGGCTTATTCTAAAAGAGTTTGGAGCCTATTAAAGAGCTCAGTCAAGTGTTAGGGGGATGCTTTTCCTTATCACCTCCCTCATTATACATTGAAGCATTTCCGTTGAGGAATTCTCCTGGCCTCTTGCCTCATTCTTTAGTTAGACTTTCTATGGAGTAGGAGTGACATCTGTTTGATAGGTTTGGGAGAGAGCATTGGTCCCTTCTGGGACTCTTTTTCTTTGGGGCCTGCCTGTCCACAGTGATCTGTAAGATGGTGCATCAATCTGTACAAGGATCTTTGTGATCTACTTTCTATCACATAGCAAGTTTAGCCCCTACAGGAGGAGGCCTGCAGCTTTGGGATGTCATTTCAATTTGGGGGTGTCAGGGATCCAAACTACTCATTTCAGTATGGTTTTGTCAATAACAGATAGTATTTTTATTCTATTTGTCTGACTCCTCTGCCTAGTTTTCAGTTGGTTTCTAAAGATGGTAGATCAAAAGAGCTGTTATATATTGGGCCCTTCAGACTCCAACCAAGGCCATTACACAGTTGTAATATGAGTCCCCACAACATAGGTGGTGTATTAGTCTGCATAGAATAGACAATGCTACATTAACAAACAAGATACAGAACTCACAATGACATAACACAATAAAAGTTTATTTCTCCCTCCTGCCAGAGTCTAGTGTGAATTGATTGGCCCTTCTCAACCTTGTAGCTCTGCTATCTAGGATATGTGACTTCTAGGTCCCTGCAACAGGGAAAGAGAAAAGTGGAAGAGACACACTAGCCCATATGTGATACCCAGTACTCTTGCTGAAATTAGACATGACAGTTATGTCACTCTAAACACTGCAAAGGAGGCTGGGAAACATAGGGGAACACATTGACGCTTGGAGGGCACAAACTCTCTCTGCTACAAGTGGATTAAGAAAAATGAGGGAAGGTTCAAGGGAGCAGAGTGAGGCACAGAGGGGGTTGAGTGGTACCAAAAGTGTATTTTGCCTATTTCATAGTTTTTTCAAAGCCAGATATTCTGTCTGAAATTTGTCTGTACAATCTCTTCAGAATCCAGTGCTACAAAGCCATCTACAAATGACCTTAAGAGGCTGATTGAGGTTTTTCCTGTTAAAAAGTGTGCATTTTACCTCGGGTCTTCTGGAGACAATATGTTCATTGTTTGGTTGCATAATTTATTGTCTTAATTTTATTATGTGTTATATTAGTAATTCTAGAAGTGAGAATGTTGGGTCCAAAGAATGTTTGGGTACTTTGAGCCTTTCAGTACTCTTCAAATCACATCAAATACAGCATTGGTTTTAGTTCTTCTTTTTTTCCCCCTCATATGGGATTTGTTTGAGTAGGAGTCATCTAATGTAACCATATTTCTTAAGCATTCTCTTTGAATTAATCAGCTGATATTTGTTAGTTTTTCTTCTAGGAAGAGAACCGCAAATCTTTCAAAGCCTAAAAAGCAATGGGGAACTCCAGACAGGTAAGGCAATATTATATGGTCTTGTTTGTGATGATTGTGTTCATTACATCAAATAGGTAAGTATTATTTATCCATCCACCTCTACAGATCCTCTGAACCAATATTATCACCTCATTGTAGTCAGCATGTAAAAAGCTAACCCTTGGTCAGTGGTTCTTAAATTTGGCTGTACATTGGTATCACCTGGGGAACTTTAGTAATGGCTGAGTGCTTTCCCCAAAAATCCTGATTTAGTCGATGTGGGGTGTGCCATAGACTTTGGGAGTTAAAAGCTCCCCAGATGATTCTATAGGCAGACAGACTTGAGAACCACTGCTCAAGGGTGTGACTCCACACCGCTTTGAAACTTTTTGTGCATTTTCCAAGTCCAGCTTTGCTGCCTGTATCTCTAAGGCTGCTATCACTAATCTTGATACCGCTAAACCTCTTATTAGCACACACCTGTCCTCTGGGTCTCCAGCAAGCTAGACCCTCAGTCCTTTCATACTTGGCCAAGGGACTCTTCTTTTTCTTCTTTGGCTCCTGAGTCAAGCTTGAATATTTTTTGGATCTCCTACTGCTTTTTTTTTTGAGGCAGGGTCTCACTGTGTTGCTCAGGCTGGAGCGCAGTGGTGCAATCATGGCTCACTGCAGCCTTGACCTCCCAGGCTCAAGTGATTCTTCCACCTCAGCCTCCTGAGTATCTGGGACCACATGTGCCCAGCTAATTTTTAATTTTTTTTTGTGGAGACAGGGGTCTCCCTATGTTTCCCAGGCTGGCCTCAAACTCCTGTGCTCAAGTGATCCTCCCATCTTGGCCTCCCAGAGTGTTGGGATTACAGACGTGAGCCACCATGCCTGTCCTATTGCTTTTTAAACAAAATTAATAGACTTTAATTTTTAGAGCAGTTTTGGGTTTACAGAAAAATTAAGCAGAAAGTACAGAGTTCCCATGTTTACCACCGTTCCCCCTAGTTTTCCCTACTACTAACATCTTGCATTATTTTGGTACAATTGTTAAAATTGATGAGCCAATATTGATACATTGCTACTGATTAAAGTCTGTAGTTTACATTAAGGTTCACTTTTTGTGTTGTGCGGCTTTATGGGTTTGATAAATGCATAATGTATCCACCATTATAGTATCATACAGGATAGTTTCACGGCCCTAAAAATTATCTGTGTTCCAACTATTCGTTTCATCTTTCCTCCCTTTCCAAACCCTTGGCCACTGCTAATCTATTTACTGTCTCTATAGTTTTGTCTTTTCTAGAAAGTCATATAGTTGGAAGTGTACAGTATGAAATCGTTCAGATTGGCTTCTTTTACTTAGTAATATGCATTTAAGATTCCTCCATTTTTTTTGGCTTGATAGCTCATTTCTTTTTAAGATTATATTCTATTGATGTGGTACTATTTAGTTGTATAGGTGTATCATATCCATATATACCATGGATATAGGTATATCCATTCATCTATTTAAGGGCTTCATGGTTGCTTCATAATTTGGCAATTATGAATAAAGCTGCTATAAACATTCATGTGCAAGGTTTTTGGTACATATAAGTTTTTAGTAATTTGGGTAAATTGCTGAGTAATATGGTAAGAGTATATTTAACTCTGTAAGAAACTGCTAAGCTCTTGTAAGACGACTGTACCATTTTGCATTTTCACAAGCAATGAAGGAGAATTCCTGTTGCTCCACATCTTTGTCAGCATTTGGTATTGTCAGTGTTTGGATTTTAGCCATTCTAATAGGTGTGTAGTGGTATCTCATTGTTTTAATTTGCAATTCTCTAATGAACTGATGTTGAGCATATTTGCTTATCTGTGTAAGGTATTTGTTCATATCTGCCCATTTTTGCTATTTGTTATTGTTGAGTTTTAAGTGTTCTTTGTATGTTTTGGATGCCAATCCTTTATCAGATATTAGTTTTGCAAATATTGTCTCTCAGTCTATGGTTCAGCTTTTCATTCTCTTAGTGGTGCGTTTCACAAAATAGAAATTTCAATTTTTATGAAGTTCAACTTACTGGTTTTTTCTTTTGTGAATCATGCTTTTGGTGTTGTTTCTAAACTCATTGCTAAACCCAAAGTTACCTGGATTTTCTCCTGTGTGTTTTTCTATAAAACTCCTGAAAGTTTTATATTTTTGTATTTTATGTTTACATCTAGACACATTTTGAGTTAATGTTTATGAAAGGTGCAAGGTCTGTGTCTAGATTATTTATTTTTGCATGTAGATGTCCAGTTGTTCCAGCACCATTTGTTGAAAAGACTATCATTTCCTTTTTTTTTGGATATGGGATTTCACTCTTGTTGTTCAGGCTGGAGTGCAATGGCGCAATCTCGGCTCACTGTAACCTCCGCCTCCCGGGTTCAAGCGATTCTCCTGCCTTAGCCTCCCGAGTAGCTGGGATTACAGGCAGGCACCACCACGCCTGGATAATTTTGTATTTTTAGTAGAGATGGGGTTTCTCCATGTTGGTTAGGGCTGGTCTCGAACTCCCGACCTCAGGTGATCTGCCCACCTCAGCCTCCCAGAGTGCTGGGATTACAGGTGTGAGCCACCGCACCTGGCTGAGACTATCCTTTCTTGATTGGATTGCCTTCAGTCCTTTAGCTATATTTGTGTGGATCTACTTACAGGATCTGTATTTTATCTCACTCATCTGTCTCTTCTTTCACCAATACCACACTGTCTTGATTACTGTAGCTTTATAAGTCTTGAAGTAAGATAGTGTTAGTCCTCTGACTTTGTTCTTGAATATTATGTTGACTATTCTGGGTCTTTTGTCTTTCTATATAAACTATAGAATCAGTTTGTCAATATCCATGAAGTAACTTGCTGGGATTTTTACTGGAATTGCATTGAATGTATAAACCAAGTTGGGAATAATTGATATCTTAATATTGATTCTTCCTATCCATGAATATTGAATACCTATCAATATTTATAACTCTTTTTTGATTCTTTCATCAGAGTTTTGTAGCTTTCCTCATGTAGATCTTATATGTATTTTGTTAGAATTATGCTTATGTATTCCATTTTTTTCGCAATGCTAATGTAAATAGCATTCTGTTTTTTATTTCAAATTCCAATTGTTCCTTGTTAGCATATTAAAAAATCAGTAGACTTTTGTATATTAATGCTGCATCTTGCAACTTTGCTATACTCTGAAGACTAAGTTTTAAGAGGCTTAAAACTAAAAATATAGTATGCATTAAATTCTCTCTTACTCATGGATAGGAACACACACATATATATTGAGTAGAGGTATACACTGATAAGAGATACGTTAATGAATATTACTAGAACTGTCAAAATCTTGGAACACTCAACCCACCCTATTTGCAACCAATAGAAAAATTGGAGACATTATTTGATTAGGGAGTAAAGTTTAGAAAAGTTAAGTAAGTTACCCGATTCAACTTGGATTTGAATCTATATCCGTTGCCCACAAAGCCCATTTCTTTCCATTATATCATCCTGTCTATTTTAGAAAGGCACAGTTCCTTTGATGGCATGGAATACCAGAGGCAAGAAGATAATTTGGGGTTATTGAAATAATGCAGGAGAGAAATAATGATAGCCTATCCTAAAACATTGGCCTTAAAGGTTGAGACAAAGGTTAGAGTCAAAACATAGATGGACAGGACCTAGTGACAAATGAATTGTAGAAGTCTGAGGAAGGAGTAAAATATGATTTCTAGTTTTGTGTCTTTAGAAATAAGGTAGAGAATACTATTATAACTGCGAGGGAAAATACAAGAGGGAGATAGGTTTGGGAGGAAGATACATTAGATCATGCAGATGATTTTCAGACATTCAATAAGTATCTGGAAATACGGATTTAGCACTCAGGAGACTACTTGAGAATAACTGGAGAGACTTATTCGGGAATTGCGTTTAGTAATAATAAAATAATATTGAGGATGGGCGCAGTGGCTCACGCTTGTAATCCCACCACTTTGGGAGGCTGGGATGGGTGGATCACTTGAGGTCAAGAGTTTGAGAAAGCCTGGTTAACATGGCGAAACCCCATCTCTACTAAAAATACAAAAATTAGCCAGGCGTGGTGGCACACACCTGAAATTCCAGCTACTTGAGATAGGTTGCGGCAGGAGAATTGTTTGAACCTGGGAGGTGGCAGTTGCAGTGAGCCGAGATTGCGCCACTGCAATCCAGCCTGGGTAACTGAGAGACTCCATCTCTAAATAATAATAATAATAATAATAATAATAATAATAATAATAATAATAATATTGAAGAGATTGGAAACCCGGAGCACGTGCCATTGTTTGAGTTGTAAAAGAAATGCTACCTAAAGAAACAGAGAGAGGCCGGGCGTGGTGGCTCATGCCTGTAATTCCAGCACTTTGAGAGGCCAAGATGGGTGGATCACTTGAGGTCAGAAGTTTGAGACCAGCCTGGCCAACGTGATGAAACCCTGTCTCTAATAAAAATACAAAAATTAGCCGGGCATGGTGGCACGTACCTGTAGTCCCAGCTATTTGAGAGGCTGAAGCAGAATCGCTTAAGCCTGGGAGGCTGAGGTTGCAGTGAGCTGAGATCATGCAACTGCACTCCAGCACTGGTGACAGAGGTGACAGAGGGAAACTGTCTCAAAAAAAAAAAAAAAAAAAAAAACAGAAACAAACAAACAAAAAAGAAACAGAGGAAGCTGCTAGAAGAGAACCAAGAAAGAGAGAGTCTCAAAGGCCAATGAAGAAAATTATTAAAAGAAAGATGGATCCTATGAGGAAACATTACAAGAATTTGTGGTTGGCTAGACTAGACTGGCAAAGAAAGTTTGAAGACCGATTTCTAAATTCAAAAAGTCCATAAAGCATTTTAAAGAGATAAAAGCTAAATAAGTATTTGTTATGATGGGAGAGATTATAAGAATTTCAGAACAGTACAACTCTGGAAATGGACTGATGAGAGCTGTTTGGTGTTTTCTAAATCTGGAAATCTGAAACAGACTAGAGTTTTAGCTGTGCAGAATGGGGTGATTGAACACTGAACCCCCCAGAATCCTTCTAGTTCCATTATTCTAGAATTCTGTGGGTAATTGTGATGGTGTCAGACTTGGTTCTGTTTCATGGATACATCAGACAGGTGTGGTATGGATAAAGATCCTATACTCTGTGGTCAAGTTCTGGATATGGACCATAGAAGATTACATTTTTATTTTCTTGATATTACTAGCCATGTAACTGCTAAACAGGTAATTTCTAAAATGCTGGCAGTACAGTGGTACATTATCTGTATATAATACGCTACTTTAGCCTGTTGGTTAGCCTCCCCGCTTCCTGATGAAGTTTACCTCCAAATTTTTCTTTTTTTTTTTCTTTTTGAGATGGAGTTTCTTCCCGTCGCCCAGGCTGGAGTGCAGTAGTGCGTTTTTGGCTCACTGCAACCTCCACCTCCTAGTTTCAAGTGATTCTTCCGCCTCAGCCTCCTGCGTAGCTGGGATTACAGGCATCCACCATCATGCCCAGCTAATTTTTGTACTTTTGTAGAGACAGGGTTTCACCACATTGGCCAGGCTGGTCTCGAACTCCTGACCTCAGGAGGTCCACCTGCCTCGGCCTCCCAAAGTGTTGGGATTACAGGCGTGAGCCACCACGCCCAGCCACCAAATTTTTCTTGACTGTGGAGTCTCTGCTCTTTCTCATCCCACTGGTCTTTTCCTTCTAACTTTAAGCCAAATATCCTGCTTTGTATATTATCCTCAATGCCTTTTGTTCATACTCTGTTTTCTAGTTCTTGTGGCCAAAATTTTTGTTTTATTTTTTTAAAAAATATATTGTGGGTACATAGTAAGTTTATATATTTACTTGTGGCCAAAATTTTTAAGCAGCTATAATCTCATGAGGGTTCAGTTCTTGGAGGGCATCATTCGGACCATATTTTATGCACTTAATTTCATTGTTGTTTCTAAGGTAATTTTTGCTCTGAATTTGAAACTGGGTGCAAACCCAGTATATATATACACATCACCTCAGCTTCCTAATCCCTGACTCTTCTAGCCTCTCTCCATCTGAGCTGTTATATTTACCCCTATCCAAAGACATGTTTTTCACTCTGTTATTACCACTGATAATGGCCTGGCCAAATCCTATTGTCTTTTGATTTTTTTCAGAGCTCATCCTTTTATGATATCTAAGTTATATTTGATGCTTTTTGATATATTTTATTGTTTATCAAAATATACTTGGTTTGATATATTTTATGCATCCTTCTTTCAAACTCTTCCCCTCTTTGTCTTCTATTACGTGGTTCTCTCACCTCTACCCACTACTTCTTTCTTTTTTTTGAGATGGAGTCTCACTGTGTCACCCAGGCTTGAGTGGAGTGGCGTGATCTTGGCTCACTGCAGCCTCCACCTCCTGGGTTCAAGGGATTCTCCTGCTTCAGCCTCCCAAGTAGCTGGGATTATAGGCATCTGCCACCATGCCTGGCTAATTTTTGTATTTTTAGTAGAGAAGAGGTTTCACCATGTTGGCCAAGCTGGTCTCAAACTCCTGACCTCAGGTGATCTGCCCGCCTTGGCCTCCCAAAGTCCTGGGATTACAGGTGTGAGTCACTGCACCCAGCCTGCCCACTACTTCTCTCTTTGGGAGCCTAGTTACTGTCTTCCCCATGTGGATCTCCCTCCTCTGGCCCTCTTCACTTGAGGTCTAAACATCGGCATTTGCTTTTTATTCTGCCTGTGGTTATTCTTTCCTCTCTAATATGTGCTGCATGTCACCATCAGGTGGGTCCCCAGTTTTCACCATTCATTCATTCATCGAACCACTATGTGATTTTTCTTATAGTTTTTTTTTTTTTTTTTGACAGTCTCACTCTGCCACCCAGGCTGGAGTGCAGTGGTGCTATCTCGGCTCACTGTAACCTCCACCTCCCAGATTCAAGCAATTCTCCTGCCTCAGCCTCCCGAGTAACTGGGATTACAGGTGCATGCCACCATGCCCGGCTAATTTTTGTATTTTTAGTAGAGACGGGGTTTCACTATGTTGGCCAGGTTGGTCTTGAACTCTTGATCTCAAATAATCCACCTCCCTTGGCTTCCCAAAGTGCTGGGATTACAGGAGTGAGCCACCGCACCCGGCCTTTCTTGTGGCTTTTAAAAAAATTTATCTCATGTACAAGGAACTAGCATGGTTTCTTTCACTGGGTAGATGCCTCACATAATCCATTCAAGGAAGATCACTTAGTCAATTTAACAAAACCGATATCCTTCGCATACTGACGGAAACACTGACAGTATGTATGGAGGCCATATTTCCACATCAGGCCGTGCTGGCTTGAACAGACTCGATGAGAGCAAGATCCCTGCCCAAATTTTTGCAGGTGGCTCCAGTAGAGTTTGATGAGACAAAAGGCCATCAAACAATATTGAGTACCACTTCTGTGCAACACTAAACTATGCAAGGAAAAATCCCCAAAAGACTAAGACATGATCTGAAAGAATAGATAGGCTGGAGTGGCAGACACTCTTGACTTGATCAAGTTTGCTTTTAGAAAGATCACTCAGGCAGTGGCGTAGAGAAAGGCGTGGACATAATGGGAGTATGGACAAAAGAAGGAACAGTGGGAATGAGGAGAGATGGACAGATTTGAGCCGTATTTAGAAAATGGATTGGGAGGCCGAGGCGGGAGGATCATGAGGTCAGGAGATCAAGACCATCCTGGCTAACACAGTGAAACCCCGTGTCTATTAAAAAATTAGCCAGGCGTGGTGGCGGGCGCCTGTAGTCCCAGCTACTCGGGAGGCTGAGGCAGGAGAATGGCGTGAACCCGGGAGGCGGAGCTTGCAGTGAGCTGAGATCGCGCCACTGCACTCCAGCCTGGGAGACAGAGGGAGACTCCATCTCAAAAAAAAAAAAAAAAAAGAAACAAAAAGAAAATGGAATCAGCAGAAGGTAGGGAGCAGGGATATTAATTCTTGTTTCTAATAATAATTCTGACTGATGTTTACAGAGCAGACAAAGAAAGATTATATCTAAAAATATAAGCAAAGCTGTAAAAAGAAAACCAGGGGTCTTTTTAAAGGGTTGACTCAATTAGTTGGGCAAATTTAATTATGTGTGAAGTCATAACAAGTGTACGGAGGTTTTTTTTTGTTTGTTTTTTGTTTTTGAGACAGGGTCTTGCTCTGTCACACTGGCTAGAGTGCAGTGGTTTCATTGATCTTGGCTTATTGCAGCCTCGACCTCTCAGGCTCAAGCAATCTTCCCATCTCAGCCTCCAAAGTAGTTGGGACTACAGATGCTGCCACCATCGCTGGCTAGTTTTTTGATTTTTTTTTTTTTTGTAGAGACTAGGTTTCACCATGTAGCCCAGGCTGGTCTCTAACTCCTGGGCTCAAGTGATCCTCCTTCCTCCTGCCTCAGCCTCTCAAAGTGCTGGGATTACAGGCGTGAGCTACCATGCCTGGCCTGTATCTTTTTCTTACTCCTCCATCTCAAGGCCTTCTCCTGCCCTCCTTACCCATTTCAGCAATGTTGCTTAATTACCTCCCAATGTGACATTCTACTTCCCCCTAAATATTCCTGGTTCAAGCCTTGGTCATTTCCATTTCCCATTGTTATCCCAACGTGGAATGTACCTCATTTCTGGCAATCTGTGCTTTTTACTTTCTTCCATGAAGCCTTTTCAGGTTAATTCCTTAATGATTTCTCCTTTTCTGTTCATCCCATGTTCAGTAATCCTCCCAATTTCACAGGGCTGTTGAGACTAAATGAACTGATATCTGTAAAGTACTTAGCACAATGCCTGGCAAAGGTTAAGTATTCCACAAATTATAGCTATTAATACTATTCTGTTACTATTTTATTTTCTAACCACCTGGTACAGGACTTCACCCAAAACAGGAGGCTAGTGTAGATAGTTAGAATGCTCATTTTATGCCAACCTGAGTATAAACCACAGGGTTTACTTGATGGCAGAAACAGAACTATGTCTAGTGGGTTCATTTTTGGTCACCTCATTTTAAGACAATAGGTTAAACAGTAATAGTTTAACTTCCATAAATATTATATTCATTTCAGATCCTTGTAAATAATAAAATTCTGTGATATAGTTCTTAAAATGAAGTAAAGTCAGCATAAAAGCCATCAAGAGCCATTTCTGGCCAGGCGCGGTGGCTCATGCCTATAATCCCAGCACTTTGGGAGGTCAAGGCAGGTGGATGACTTGAGGTCAGGAGTTTGAGACCAGCCTGGCTAACATGGTGAAACCCTGTCTCTACTAAAAAATTAGCCAGGTGTGGTGGTGCTTGCCTGTAATCCCAGCTACTCGGGAGGCTGAGGCATGAGAATCACTTGAATCCGGGAGGCAGAGGTTGCAGTGAGCCGAGATCGAGCCGCTGCACTCCACTCCAGCCTGGGCAACAGAGTGAGACTCTGTCTCAGAGAAAAAAGAGTCAATTTTTAGATTTTCATTAGCAGTCAATTTTTTTACCATTTTATTTGTATGTTTCTTAACAGAAAACTGTTTTGGGGAAATCAAGATCCTATTCGCCCTGTTTCCCAGGGTGCTTTGAAGGCTCAACTGACCAAAAGACTTGAGAACCTTGCCCAGCCCAAGGAAGTTTCCTGCCTCTATGTACCTAACAGGTTAGTGTCTGTGTGTTATCATGTTACTTTATCAGGAGGTTTTTTTGTTGTTGTTTTTTGTTTTTGAGATGGAATCTCAGACTGTCACCCAAGCTGGAGTGCAATGGCATGATCTTGGCTCACTGCAACCTCCACCTCCCAGGTTCACGTGATTCTCCTGCCTCAGCCTCCCAAGTAGCTGGGATTACAGTCACACACCACACCAGGCTAATTTTTTGTATTTTTAGTAGAGACAGGGTTTCACTATGTTGGCCAGACTGGTCTCGAACTCCTGACATTGTGATCTCTCTGCCCTGGCCTCCGAAAGTGCTGAGATTACAGGCGTGAGGCACTGCGCCCGGCCTTTATCCTGAGTTCTTAGGGAAAATGGACATAGAACTTTTATCTAAAAGCCACAAATTGTTCAACGTGTAGTCAAAATTCACTGAGAATTAGGGATTCTATATCTGTTTCCAATCTGATGCTACAAGTAAGCTTTTCCAGAGCAAAATCTAGTATTTAACTATTGCAGACTTGTAATCTATTATAATGCTTTGATTTATGAGGATTAAAAAAATAATAAAGTGAAGGTGTAATACAAGGATACTTCCAGAGTTAGGAAGACATCTCTTCAAGATATCTTTGAAGAATTCTACAGAAGCCATTATTTTTTCAAGTTAGGGTCTCCAATTTTAGAATGAAAGACACTGTAGAAGTTCAGGGGATACTGAAATCACCTGTTGCGACTCTTGCCGAGGACTGGCCACTTCCTTTTCTAAGTTCTCCTCCTCTTGGCTTCAGTGATACTCTCTGCCCTGGCTTCCCTCCCATCTTCTTCACCTTGCCCTCTCAATATCCTTTGTGGGTTTCTGTTTCTTTGCCATTGTTGCCCACTGTCTTGTCCCTGGATGCTTTCTCTTCCTGCTCTAAACTCTTCCCAAAGGTGGAGTTGTCCTCATAGGAATTTTGCTTCCATTCTTGTGGTGGTGACCTCCAACTCCTGTTCCCAGCCTAAACCTCTCTCCTGTCTCAGAATTATTGACTTCCCCTGTAAGAAGGTGCTACAGGAATCTCCAACTCAACATGTTTGTATCATTTTTTTTTTTTTTTAATTGAGATGTTGTCTTGCTATGTTGCCCAGGCTGGTCTCGAACTCCTGGGCTTAAGCAGTCCTTCCTTAGCCTTCCAAAGTGCTGGAATTACAGATGGGAGCCACTGTACCTGGCCAGCATATATGAAACTGAATTACTTTTTATTTTTTTGGAGACAGAGTCTTGCTCTGTTACCCAGGCTGGAGTGCAGTGGCCTGATCTCGGCTTACTGCAACCTCCACCTCCTGGGTTCAAGTAATTCTCTTGCCTCAGCCTCCCCAGTAGCTGGGATTACAGGTGTGAGCCACCATGCCCAGCTACTTTTTGTATTTTTAGTAGAGAGGGAGTCTTGCCATGTTGGCCAGGCTAGACTCAAACTCCTGGTTTCAAGTGAGCCACCCACCTGGGCCTCTCAAAGTACTGGGATTACACACATGAGCCATCGCGCCTCGCCAGACCTGCTTTTTAATCTAATGTTGAGGTGGATACTTGCTTCAGAATGATATTTACAGGCTACAATCATTGGTGTATTTGTTTACTTGTAAAAGTTTGTTCAAGAAGATGAATTCAATAATATTTTCAAATTTCTTAGTGAAGATCACTTCATTTTTTTTAACACAAGAATACCAGTTGTACATGATTAATTTTATCTTCTTTCTAGAAAATACAGAAATGATCTTTGCATGTTTGGTGACATTTTATCATTATGTTTGGTGGCATGTTACTATTAAATTTAATTCAGCAAATATTTTGCTACAACAGAATACCTGAGGCTGGGTAATTTACAAAGAGAACAGGTTTATTTAGCTCACGGTTCTATAAACAGAGAAGTATAAGAAGCATGGTGCTGGCATCTGCTGGGCTTCTGGTGAGGGCTTTTCATGCTACTTCATAACACGAAGAAGAAAATCAAAGGGAAAGCAGACATGTGCAAAGAGGGAAAACCGAGGGGCATCTGGTTTCATAACAACCCATTCTCATGGGCACATTCCTGTCAAAACTAATCCCGGCTCAAGAGAGTGAGAACTCACTCACTACCGAGAATGACACCAAACCATTCATGAAGCATCCGTCCCCATGACCCAACACCTCCCATTAGGCCTCAACTTCCAACACCACCACACTGGGAATCAAATGTCTTTTTCTTTTTTTTGTTTTTGAGATGGAGCTTGCTCTGTCGCCCAGGCTGGAGTGCAGTGGCGGGATCTGGCTCACTGCACCTCCGCCTCTGGTTCAAGCGATTCTCCTGCTTCAGCCTCCCGGGTAGCTGCGATTACAGGTGCCCACCACCTCGCCCAGCTAATTTTGTATTTTTAGTAGAGATGGTTTCATCAATGTTGGCAGGCTGGTCTCGAACTCCTGACCTCAGTAATCTGCTTGCCTCGGCCTCCCAAAGTGCTGGGATTACAGGCATGAGCCACCGCACCCGGCCTGGGAATTAAATTTCAGCATGAGCTTTGGTGGAGGCAAACCTAAACA